TCAGGTTAAAATCGCGATAAATGGTAATTTTCTGTGGTTCAGATGTAAAATAACACATAAATAAGTCCTTTGCATCATTTCATTGACAAGGTTTACTTTTATTGTTGAAAAAAGTTGAAAGAACATGCATATTCATTCAAAAATGGCTTGACAACCTGCTACTTGTGACGTCATATGTCGTAACCATAGTAACTGACCATCTTTAAACTTGTCTCAAAATGCGCGCGAGGGATAAACAAACAGCTACTGAAAACGTCAGGTGCTGATGTTTTATCGTCTAAAAAAAATAAAAATAAATAAAAAACGTCAGTGACGGGGGTTGTACGTCCGAGGGTTAAGAATCCCAAGTCTCCTAACGGGACGGAGACGAAACACTTAACTATATACAAGCGTGGCCTTGGTTTCAGTAACGTGATTCAGATTTTAATCAGATACTTTTTGAAATTTTAAGTATGCGCTGTAAGTATTCTGAACCGTGATTCTGAACCGCGGGTCACATTTCAGTGGTTTAAGGTCTGAGTTAAAAGGATGTATTACGCTTTATATGACTGATCCCCGGTTTCCCAGAACTAGTATTATTTTTTTTGAAAAAAATGAATATGTCCATGTCTTGTTGATCCTTAATGTATAAATTGGTGGACAGTACAAAATGCAGACTGCAGACTGACTGCAGACCATTGTTTTCAGGGTTAGAAAACAATGGGACTATCAGTGGCTTCATAGCTTAAAGAGTTAGAGCGTCGCACCGGTATCGCGAGGTCACGGGTTCAAATACCGCTGAAGTCCTGATTTTTTTTTCAGGCTTCTTACGCAATTGCATAAATTGCGTTCACAACTGCGAGGATCATTCTTTATTTGATTTCATTTCCGCAGTTCTCATATATGATTTATTTCATATGCATTTGTCAATGGGACTATTGTTGTCACGTTCCCATTTGCATGGTGAAAACAATGTTTTGCACTGAGAGCAGTCTGCAGTCTTCATTTTGTACTTATGTTATATATTGGGACACACATTGTGCCACTTAATTAAAACTGCTTTTAAATTCAAGTAAAATGGGATTTCAGGCACGAGTTTAACTTATATGGATAAATTATTAGCGTTTCATACAAAGAGTAAACATTTTGCCTTCCACGTTTGGGAATGAATATGCTCGTAGTTTTAAGTACGTTTTGGACGATACACTAAATAGCCTGCGCAGAGACAAGACCGGGTGACCTCTGGCAAATTGGACCGTCTGAGAATCATTAGCGTGACTTTTGCCTTATTTTAGGAAAAGTGTTGCCAGATAGTCCTTTCATGCCTGCAAACAAAGGAAAAAGGGCCCCAAATCAAATTTTCATCCGAAAACAAGATTTATTTTCCTTCTCTATTTTCTCACCACCACTTCCTTGTAGAGCTGAGTCCGCCTCTGTCTCTGCACTCGTAGACTATTTGTTCTGCCATTAAACTGGGTTTAACTCTTAATCTTGTTTCTTAATTACCGCGAGTCATTTCAATCATAAAAGACGTTTTCGTGGACTATTGCTTCAGTGGTCCAACAGCTTTAATTGATGTCGACTTTAAAGTATCCAAACAGTGGAAGAGATTAGATTAAGATTTTGGACGCTCCAATAACTTAATGATGTTTTGTTGTAATTGTGCTAGGTTGTAAAAGTTGGGCTTTAATCAAATAGATCAGTTCCAGAACACGTATACAGAAACGTTCTGAGGTTTGGCGTTAGGAAATTACAGCAATCGTTCAAGCTATCATCATTCTATCGAGAATCTGACCTATTTTTACTGCTTCTGGACTGCTTTTCTCTAGGCCATTGACTTTTAGCCATCCCTCAGTTATTTAAAGAAGCTGCTTTAAATTAGGGATGTCACCATTAGAAAAAATGGATAGGAGGTTGGGGGAAGGCAAACGCATTATTAAGAAAAAATCTCCACACGCACCATGATCAAAAAAACTGTTCGAGGAGGAAAAATAGATTTCCACCTCAGGGGTAAAGAGAAAACTTTCATAGACCTCCCAAAAATCTCACCCAGCCCCTTTACTTTGCTAACGGTTCATCCCTTATACCGCCCCATGTAACGGAATCCGGAATCTGGGACAAATTTGCATGTGGAATCCGGAATCCTGGGCTTTGGAGTCCAGAGTACAGCTCAAAGAATCCGGAATCCCACTAGCAATTGGAATTGAGAATCCAAGTTCTACTGACAAAGACTGGAATGGAGTACCTCGAATCCGGAATCCGTGACGTGGAATCCAGAGTCCCAGGCTATCTTGGATTGCCTTACATGGGGCGACTTATAGGTCGGCTTGTTGAACTGCTTCTACGTGATCCCAACACGTTGCACGATACAATGTTTAGTTTCTGATGTTACCTTCAGATAAGTAATGTTGTATTAAACCTGAAGAAAACGAGATGTTTACTGTGATTGCTGATCTCTTCGATGCCTTAAACCATTTTAAAACTACTTCTCCTTGAACTGAAATAGTCAGTCTTTGATTAA